GGGGGGGTAGCTAAATGTCAACGGCCTCGCCGGGCCGGGGCGCGGAGGTCCGTAACTACAGAGGCATGTCATCCGACAGACGCCAAGCGGCTCGTCGGCCGCCGCTACGACGAGCTGGTCGTGCAGGAGGACCTCAAGCTGTGGCCCTTCGCCGTGGTGGACGACGGAGGCAGGCCCAAGATCAAGGTCATAATTCTCAGCGGCACGTCGTGTTCCCGGCGAGAGGGAGAGGCCGGCCGGGGCTGACGCGGGGGGCGCTGCTTGTGCAGTACAGGTGCGGTACAAGCGGGAGACGCGGCTCTTCACCCCGGAGGAGGTGTCGTCCATGGTGCTGACCAAGATGAAGGAGACGGCGAGCAACTACCTGGGCCAGCCGGTGCAGGCCGCGGTGGTGACGGTGCCGGCCTACTTCAACGACGCCCAGCGCCGGGCCACCAAAGACGCGGGCTGCATCGCCGCGCTCAACGTGCTGCGTATCATCAACGAGCCCACGGCCGCGGCCATCGCCTACGGTCTGGACCACAAGGTTGGCGCGCACACCCTCCTCTAGCGACAGAGATCGTCGGCGTCCTCCCAGGATTATAACGATAAAAAAAGTCGTGATTTTTTCACAAAACTCATCGAAGTTTGGAAATTGTTTACTTACTTTGATCCCATTCCTGCCGGGCAGAATGGGCCGGAGGAGCGTAACGTCCTCATCTTCGACCTCGGGGGCGGCACCTTCGACGTGTCGCTGCTCACCATCGCGGGCGGCATCTTCGAGGTGAAGGCCACGGCCGGGCACACGCACCTCGGCGGCGAGGACTTCGACTCCCGGATGGTGGAGCACTTCGCCAACGAGTTCCGCCGCAAGTACCGCAAGGACATCTCGACCAACAAGCGAGCCCTCCGGCGGCTGCGCACGGCGTGCGAGCGCGCCAAACGCACGCTGTCCTCGTCCACCCAGGCCACCATCGAGGTGAGAGCGCCGCGCCGCGTAGCCCCGTAGAGCAGCCGAGGAGGAGGGTGGAGCCCCCGGGGCGTAGGCAGCAGCGCGCCACGCGTGTGCGGCGGGACGGCCTATGCTCCGCTCCGCAGGCGCCTGGCTGGCTCCTCCACAAACAAGCGCCGCTTACCTGCGTGCCTGCAGGTCGACTCGCTGTTTGAAGGCATAGATCTCTACACCACCATGACGAGGGCGCGCTTCGAGGAGCTCAATTCAGACCTCTTCAAGGCGACCCTGGAGCCGGTGGAGACTGCGCTGCGCGACGCGGGTATAGGTGAGTCAGAAGGTCCTCGCAGCGTGCTCAGAGGAAAGACGCGTTCTCTTTGGAGAATGTATGGAGGGGTGTTGTTGCGAGCTCATTGGACAGTTGCTAACGGGGCCTTGGGAGTCCTGCAGATAAGAGGAACGTCCACGATGTGGTGCTAGTCGGCGGGTCGACGCGGATCCCCCGGATACAGCGTATGCTCAGAGACTTCTTCGGTGGCAAGGAGCTCAACCAGTCCATCAACCCGGATGAGGCAGTCGCCTACGGGGCGGCCGTGCAGTGCGCCATCCTGCAGGGTGACAAGAGCGAGGTGGTGCAGGACCTGCTGCTGTTGGACGTGACGCCGCTGTCCATGGGGATTGAGACCGCCGGGGGCGTCATGTTCCCGGTCATCAAGAGGGGCACCACCATCCCCACACACCAGACGCAGGTCTTCAGCACCTACGCAGACAACCAGCCCAAGGTGCTCATCCAGGTGTACGAGGGCGAGCGTCCGCTCACCAAGGACAACAATCTGCTGGGCAAGTTCGAGCTGTCCCACATTCCCGCCATGGGGCGCGGCGTTCCCCAGATCCAAGTCACCTTCGACGTGGACACAAACGGAATCCTCAGTGTCACCGCCGTGGAGAAGTCATCCGGAAAGGAGAACAAGATCACCATCACCAACGACATTGACCGCCTGTCCAAGCATGATATAGAGCGAATGATCAAGGAGTCGGAGAGATTCCGCCAGCAGGTTCGTATACTGATTCATATATAAAGTATAAGCCTCTAACCCTTCCCTTGTTCATTAAGTGTAGCTCGTATACACGGGAAACGCAAAGTGTGTGAATGTCACGCGCTTGTAGGTGTGTGAATACCCATTCGAACACTTAGGAGAGTAAAGGTGTGAATAATCCATTGAAAATTCACACACTTATGCCCCTATGTGTACGAATGACGTTAACACACCTGCAAGTATGCCACATTCACACACTTATTGCGTTTTCGGTGTAGCTTCTCATGTCTCGTCTACACAGGAATCGTTTCTAAACACTTAGAACCGTCTTTCTTCCCAGGACGACCAACAACGCAATAAAGTAATGGCGAAGAACGCACTGGAGGCCTTCTGCTTCACGGTGCGCGCCATGCTGGACGAGGTGACCGGTGAGTCTAGTGCTGTCACAACTCGTGCCACCCTACCGAGTGTCCACACACTACACACACACCAACCACTGCATATGCACAGGAAACGTAAGCGCGGACATGGAGATCAGCATGATTGCCACGACCTGCCACGAGACCATAAGCTGGATGGAGTCTACCAATGATCCAGACCCCAACCACTTGGAGAGTCGCCACCGGCAGCTCCAGAAGCTGTGCGAGCCTCTCTTGAAGCGCTTTGCGGGGCAACGACCATCGACTTCGACCTCAGACGACAAAGGACCCACCATCGAGGAGGTGGATTGAGTAAAAGCGATATAAAAGGGTGTGTAAACGGGATGATAGTTCAAGGACAAAAGTTCAAGCATTGTATTAAGAGTGTGTTTATTTTGTCAACGATTTTTTAAATGACAAAGGTGCTCATATCTCATGCAATTGTCCAACTTCTTTAGAAAGAACTTGTCTTGGTTCAGTGTGTTTGTGAAATCTTCACATCTAACACAGAAAGGTCATAGTCCTTGCCTATTAAATCAGATTTGAATTGAAAGGATTGCCTACAAAGCTAGTGCATTTTGACAAAATAATTAGATTACTATAAACACATAAAAATATAAAATATTTGAAATCTGTCTGACTTTTCTAGATTTGCATTGATCAACTTGGTTAAGCCCTTTTTTTCACTGGGACTAGTCTACACAATTTCACACATTTTCACAGTTGAGTATTTTTGAGCTTTAACAGTCCTCATGGCACATATTGTTGGGGTGAAATAGCATTGTAAGAGTTGCATGACTAGTTGAAAGTTAATGAACCAGTTTCAAACCTTACACTTTGACGCAATGTATGCAAAAATTTGACAATACTTAGAGACAAAACATGATATTTCTGTTTTAGATATTTATTAACATTTGTGTTTGGCTGCCAATGTAATTTAATTATGAACAATGGGTAACAGACTGGTTTATTCTTTCCAAAGGCTGCAAAGCGGAGATGAGCATTTCAGCGATTGTGAACAACCGTCGAGACCGGCGGAAAGGTGCTCCTCCCACCTGGCCAGGCGGTGACCGCGCGTCGGTCTCAGCGGTCACTCAGAATCGCTAAAATGCTCGTCTCTGCTGCAAAGGTATCCTTCACAAGCACCATAAACAGGTAATATTTTTTCATGCAACACATAGTTAACCAAAGGAAACAAAGAGAAGACTGTCAATAGCTCCCTAGTTAATCACAGCTAAACTGAGACATATTAACAAGCCCACAAAAACACAAAAGGAAAGTAACACAGCTGAATGAATTTTGTGGGAATCAAAATTAAGAAATGGCAACAAAAGGTAAGTTGACTCAATGCCACCAGCGAGTTGAAAAACATGTATCATACATAAATAAATTAATGGCATATCAAACATCCATATCCCAAATCCTAGCTACTTTTCTTCAAAAGATATGAGCAGCAGGCAAGAAAACCAACTCCATAGGCCATAGATAGTCAGCTGTGGTTTCTAATAAGCAATTCATCGGAATGTTGACAATAATTATAAAAGCACTTATCACAATGCACACCCAAAAGCAAAATCTGGTACAGCAGTAGTGAGAGAAAAAATATCCTGAAAATATACTTAGCTTGAAGTTTACAAGATGCATAAATGAGAAAGTTTTGAAAATTGTTTTGTTTTTTTAACGGAAAGAAAAGTTTAAAGTTTATAGCAAGGAGTACTTATCTGTTAACATAGTCAGGGTCACCCCATCGGCATTGGTGTTTGCTGATTTACTCCCTTGAGTTCATAACATAACCAGGATAAAATATAATTAAATAACTTATGAGAGATTGTTGAAGGATAAAACAAGGCTTAATTTTAAGCTCAAATTCATGATACTAGTAAGGATTACCGCAATGACTTCAATGACTAGCAACACACAAGGGGCCTTCTCAGCAAGTGTAAAGCATTCAGGAAGTTGATAGATAATATAATCTGGGTTATTCTTATGAAAAAAAGATGTAGGAGATGCACAAAAAATAAAAGTTAAAATTTATCATCATGAAATAGTTAAAATAATTCTGATAGAGGCAAAGATGTAGACAGTTGCTGGAAAATATGACTTAGTTTGAATTCTCTTTTAGTATTTCTACAGTCCTGGAGGTACAAATTCATGTTGCAGACAGAGGATAACAGGGCAAATGACAATAGACTCTAAACAAGTAAACGATGCTAAGAAAACAAGTGACAAATAAGGCACTAACATATTTTGTGGACAATACATGAATAAGCAGCAAAGTAAAAATTCGAGAGATCCAATATATACAGTAACCAACAGTTGTCCATGCAAAATGGTCACATGTTACAGAATTTTCAAATTTGTAAGAACACAAATCAAATAGGAAGCTACAAGAAATGTGATACCAACCAATATAGGAAAGTAAATTAATGAATAAATAGTGTATTACAATTCTTTTCTCTCAATTCAAGAGAGTAACTAATAGGAAATACTATCTAAGATGAAACATAATAGGACTTAGGTATTATA